TTCCCTTTCCTGTAGTGTGTTGTAGGTTTGTGTGCATGTAAATGGTCTGCAAAGGCAAAAATCCAAAAGGGACTCTTTCCCACGCACGGCGTTTCAGCGGCATTTACCGACCGCTGCAGTGCTGCTCTTCCATGGGAGTTTATTCTCCCGTTAGCTCCGGGTTAGCTCACACGGCAGCGGCCGCTGTGAAGTATTCACATGTCTGACTGTCACACAAGCAGCTGATACATATCCCCAATTCCCCATAAGTGAATGTGTGTCACTCTGAATTGACGCTGTTTGGCATCCCACGCTGTTATTAAATCCTATTGTGGCATAAGCCGTTTTCTACAGGCACATTTTACCGGCGTATTTTTCATTATGATTCAACTTGTGATAGTCGGACATGACAACCTGTGCAGCCCATGTATTGATTCTATCTGATAGCTGCTATAATACAAAACAAAACGTCTGCCTGCTCTCCACAATGATCAATAACAGCGAACGGATGGTCAAAGTAAGGTACAAATAAACAGAATCACACTAAGCCTGGTTAGTGTTGCCTGACTTTATAAAGTGTGTTTTTTTTGGGTGCTTGAAACTAACCGGATTCCGGAGCTTAGGTCGGCTCCGCTGCGGTGTAAACAGGATAAACCTTTTCAGGCTCTAGCTCTGAACCGGCCCTGGAACCGCGTTGGTGTGAAAGCCCCATAAGTGGTTGACATGTCATATCAGAGCCGGCCAGCTAACCAATCAGAGGAGACTGGGCTCTGGTTTCAGACAGAGGGTGAAAATAGGCGCTGCAGCACAGGCAATATGAGAAAAATAAAGAGCTTTGTTGACATGAAAGCATGTACACATTTCACAGTAGAGACACATAATACAAATATGAACCTGTAAATGAACATGATAGGGCCCTTTTTTTTTTTTTAAAGATCCAGGAGCCATGTCTGTACAAGCTTTTAGATATTTCACTGGATAAGTGAACATTTCGACATGCTGGTGGAAATAAAAAAAGACAGTCAATCACCAGAGTAAAATGCATAAAACTGAGATGACAGTCAGGCATTTGATAACACAGCCTAAAAAGAAGCATTGTCTGCACAACCAGCTGACAAATAAGCTTGTTTCTTCACATTGGAACGTCACTCTGATCCCAAGAAGAGTTTAACCCCAGGAGACATCTCTCAGTCCCTTGTGTTTCCGAATATTTCCTGGTAAAGCTCCCACTTCAGCATGTCCGAGCTGGAAGTGAGAGCCTGATTAAATATTATAAAGAAGAATTTCATGCACTGCATACAGTTAATGTGACAGCTTTAGTGAGTAAAATACCCCTTAGCGTCCCCCTTATGCTTGCTGTTTTGAGTTTGTATCCACTTGTATAACACACTTATGTATTAACAACGATGAAAGATAGAAAAGGCAGTACAGTTGTTGCAGAAGTGAGCAACAAGAGTCAAGGACAAGTTCTAGCTGTACTATTTATATTATTTGATTTTCTATTAATCTAAATTCTTAGAAATGTACAGATACTGATGACAAGCAAAGCAGCAACATAGGAAAAATATGTGTCTTTTGCCATATAGTTCTCATCATAGCCTGCTGTTTGTATGTCAACAGATTCCTTCTTCCTGCCTGGGGCTATGTCAATAAGATGGATACATTTAATGCAATTCAGACAATTATTCTGCTCTACAGACATTAGAAAAATGTTGACAACACAAGTTGAACCAAGAGAACAAGAAACACACGCCCTGCCTTGCAAAAATCAAACACTGGTATGGCCTTGTTAGTGAGCTTGAATTGCTAATGGATTATTTACATTTAGTCATTTAGACTCTAGAATCTGCATTTTCTCTTATTTATGCAGAGCTGTCTCTCCCAGACCGTCTTCAAAAAGTGCTTCCATTCTGTTCCCCATGAGGAAAACCCTCATTAATTAAATAGGAAAATAGGCTGTGCTGCGACACTGATGTAATGAATCGGTAATGTTATGGTTCTCGTTAAATAATGCAGTATTCAGATGGTTCATTGAGAAAGATGTCATTAAAACATACATGTTTTCAATGATCGGTGAGGTGGCACAAATGCTCGATAGCTCAGTTCTAATGCTAGCCAAGCTAATTATGCAACATCTATATTTTTTCAGGACACTGCAAGAAAACAAGTTTTATCTGCGGAAGGCACCTTATGAGTCATGAGCAATTTGTGAGCATCATGAGTCAGGTGACTGGGGTATATCTGCATTTCACAGACTTCATTTTATTTGACCTCAACTTGAGACAACATGTGTTCAACTCCAGAAGTTATCAGCCCTGCAGAGGTGTACTTGATTAAACCAAACACATTTCAGTAAAGACGTTCTTCATTTTGATCAGCATAACGAATGAGTACACCATCTGATTGTTCTTATCCCCGTCCTCAACTGGGCATGAATCGGGCCAACTTCGGGCTAGAATCATGCCAACATCGGGATATTGAACCAGACTGAGTGTCTGGGCTAACTGTTCCACCACCTACCTCAGTGGTTCTCAAAGTGGGGGGAGCAGAGGCATGCCAGGGGGGGCGCGAGGGACCAGGAGGAAAAAATGGTTATAACATTTTAAAAAAAGATTAAAAAATAAATAAAATCATAATTTGAAAAATTGATTCGAAAATAATATGATGCAGTACAGTACTATTACGTCTGTGTTTCATTAAAGCTCGGCTCTGTGTGTGTGGAACGAGCCATTTTGTGTGCGCGAGGAGAGAGAGAGAGAGAGAGAGAGAGAGGAGAGAGAGAGAGAGAGGGAGAGAGAGAGAGAGAGAGAGAGAGGAGAGAGAGAGGAAGAGAGAGGAGAGAGAGAGAGAGGAGAGAGAGAGAGAGAGAGGAGAGAGAGAGGAGAGAGAGATGAGAGAGGAGAGAGAGAGAGAGAGCGCGCCGGCCCTTCCCACTGGCGAACTAGGCGGTCGCCTAGGGCGCCAGATCTGGAGGGGCGCTGCGCCTTAATAATAAAAAAGTTTTTTTGTTTAAAAAAAAAAAAAAGTTTTATTCTGCCTAATTTTATGCCCTTGATGTAATACGTTTACATTAATAATTGAATAAAGTAAACACCCTTTGCACCCCGGGCCGGCGGCAACATTTACAATTTGCCCTGTACGATGGGCGCTGTAACTGTAAGTGATGAAAGGGGGGGATGGTCGCTTATCTGGCACCCACGAGCCGCGACTCACAGCCAAAGTGACGCGGCAGCTCCAGCTGAAAGTGTCAGAGATTGCAACGATGCAACAGCAAGAGGCAAACAATTAGCATTATGAAAAGGTCCAAGCCTTCAGGGGCAACGGGAAGGAAACGGAAAAAAGAACAGGAGGAATCGAAAGTCAAAGACAGAGGTACGTCGGCTTGTGTGAAAAAGAAAAAAGTCAGTATGTACTGTACCGTTAGACATTTGATTTTAAGCTAGCTAGCTAGCTAAGGAGGTAGCCTGCCCATGATACAGCTTTGATGCCATGCTAGCCGCGAGCCTCTGATACAGAATGATAAATACAAATGATTTAAAGTTTTTATTTATGTGTTATTATTCTTATATAATCTTTTTGTAAATAATATACTACTTTTCTATTGTGATAGCTGTAAATTGATCCTCCAATAGTGTTTAATTTGTCAGATAGTTTATTTTCACGGTCAACTTGTGTGTAGGCCTATATATATATATATATATATATATATATATATATATTTATTTTTCTGTTTATTTTCTATTATATTTTAGAATTTGTTTATGTTCTGCTCTTTTTAATGTCTAATCATTGTGCAATGCTTTGTTTTATATGCTTCTGTAACGAAATAATGTGAATATTAGCCAGAAGAAAGCTATCTGGATAACTGCTCCTTTGTATAAAGTGAGGCTGACCAACCAATATGGGCATGTGTTATTATTTACATTACATGTCATTTGTTAGACGCTTTTATCCAAAGCGACTTACATACATTCAGTACTGTGGACAATCCCCACAGGAGCAATTTGGGGTGAAGTGTCTTGCCCAGGGACACAACGACATGCTGACTGCAGTGGGACTCGAACTTGCTACCCCCTGATTCAAAGTCCAGACCTAACTTTTATATAGGCCAGTTGTGAACTTGCATACAGCTGAGGCAGATTGCAGCAGTTATTTTGGCCTGACTGTATATACATGTTTTTGCTTGTAATGTGCTAATATCTACCCTATAATTTTCCAGCTGCACTTGAGAAATACTTCAAAAAGCCCCCAGTTGCTGGAGAAGGAACATCTGATCTCCCATGTACATCACACTCTGAAGAATGTAAGTGTTGCCAAACATTTATGGTCTCTGTGTAATCGTTAATACACTACTTTTTGTCATTATTATTATTGTTATTATTATGATAAATAATGAAAACTGAAGCATGAATAACTTCTTTGCATGTTTGGATTGCCTGCCTGCAGGTGAAGGAATAACGAGCACAGTATGTGAGTCCACCATTGCAGCCCCCTCAGATCCTGCTGACTGCCCAGGCCCATCTGAGTCCACCATTGCAGTCCCCTCAGATCCTGCTGACTGCCCAGGCCCATCTGAGTCCAACATTGCAGTCCCCTCAGATCCTGCTGACTGGCCAGCACTGAGTGATACAGTGAGAAAAGCCATGTGAACATCACATTGAAATCATGGTCTGATACCAGATGGGAGAGTCGGATCAACAGCATAGAGGCTGTAAGGTATCAGGCTGCAGAAGTCAGAGATGCACTTCTAGAGGTGAGGGATAAAGCTACAGATGGAGTTGTAAAAATTGAGGCACAATCTTTGGCTGAAGAGGTTGGATCATACCGCTTTGCAATATGCACTGTGGTATGGTATGACACCCTGACCAACATCAAAAATGTCAGCAAAATGTTGCAATCAGTGTCAATGCAGCTGGATATTGCTGTTGACCTCCTGAGAAAAACAGAAGTTTCTTTGGTCAGCTACAGAAGCAATGGATTTGCTTCTGCCCAAGCATCTGCCAAAATACATCTGTGGCCAAATGAATGTGGAAGCTGTTCTCAAGCAGAAGAGGCTGAGAACAACCAAGAGACAGTTCTCCTATGAGTCCCCGGAGGAGCAAGTGAGTGATGCACTAAAGAAACTCGAAGTTTCTTTTTTCAATATGGTGGTGGATGTTTCCATTGCATCACTGCAGGAGAGATTCAAGGCCTTAGGTGAAGTAGAGGAAAGGTTTGGGGTGCTACTCAACTTCCCTGACCTGCCAAAGGAAGATCTGACAAAGCAGTGTGAAACACTCAGCAACACCCTGAGCTGGGGTGGACAGTCAGACCTGGATAAGAGGGAACTTGCACTGGAGATGCAGAATTTCCCAGCTTTGCCAAAAGCCAACATGACCACCCTGGAACTTCTGACTTTCCTACAGGAGAAGAAAATGAACGAAGTGTATCCAAATATGTGGGTAGCCCTCAGGATCGCTGTCACTATTCCAGTGACAGTTGCTGCTGGGGAGAGGAGCTTCTCAAAATTGAAGCTCATTAAAACATACCTGAGGTCGTCAATGGCTCAAGAACGCCTCAATGGATTAGCTTTAATAAGCATCAATCGCAAGGTTTCGGGGCAAATATCATTTGACGATACAATAAATGAATTTGCAGCAAGGAAGTCCAGACGTGTCCGACTTTAAGGATGTGGACTAATTAAAGGACACAATAACATAGCAGAGACGTGTTGTTCTGATTGCCTGTTTCATTTGATTCATAGTGTGTGTAATGTTGTTCATTATCTTAATTTATTTGCAATAACCTCAGTTGTAAGAGCTCCGTTGGCTATATTTGTGTCCACGTTTGCACTTTCTTTTCTTAAAGTTTTAAGAGAAGCTACTTTTGTTTGAGTGATTTTCATTTAATAACTACAATATTAATAATAAGGATAAAATAAATAAATATTTTACATTTAACATGTCTAGGGCCGGCCCTGGGCATGGCCGTATCCACCGGACCTCGGTAATTTTTTTCGAGCTGTGTATATAACTAAACTTGTGAAATAATTGCACTAAACGGGGTTCTTTGTAGTACTTCCATTTACTGACGATGGGGGCGCTGCATAAGTACATAGCCTCGGTTAAAGCAAACAGAAGAAGACGACATGTATCAACACACCACCGCAGACCGGACTTGTACCGGAGCAGCGAAGGAGTGATGAGGTATCTAGAGATCTGAGTCTAGCGGGCTGCTTGTGTTTCTGCTCATCAGGACATCATATGAGCAGCAGATCCTGTGTGAACGCTCTACGTTAGTCAGTGGACGTCCGACAACATGCACACTAACTTATATTGCAGCTTTAGGCTATACTTTGGTTTAAATTGCGTGAATAAACTAGTTAGAGAGCTGAAGTTAATTACATTCATCCAATGTCAGAAGGATGACCTTTTAACACACGTTGTAATGCTTTTCTTTCATTTCAATTTGAGTAAAACATTGGAGATATAACATTGTGTTGTTTTCTTTTTACACTGACTCAGATATAATGAAAATACTACGTCAGTCGAAGCTCAGCTTTGGTAAGGAAGAGACAGGACAGACAGAGAGAAAGAGAGAGAGAGAAAGTGATGGAAGTCAGGGAGGAACTGCAGGTTGCACACTGCACACAAAAATAATGTAGGCTTAATAACCCCATCTATCCATCTATAACAATAGTCTTCATTTACAATATAGACAATAGGCATAATTGTAAAACAACATACATCTATTGCAGTTATGATGTCAAAATAACATACAATTGTATAAAACACAATTTGCTTACATCTTTGTTCTCTTTTGAGAATCAAACAAAACAGATTTTAAAAAAAAGAATGCAAACAAACAAGTGAAATGAACTAAATGTCTGAATTGCTTTTAATTCACTGGCAGGAGCAACAAGTGAACAACGAGGGAGAGGTTGAACAAAGAGAAAGAGTAGAGGACAGAGAGAGTAATGAACAGGAAGAAGACAGAGAGACTAAAGAAGATGGAAGAGAGGGGGCAGGTTATGGAAAGGAGAGAGACATGGAAAATGAATGTTGACAATGTTTTGTGATCATTTTAGCCTCTTCTGCGTGTCCAGATCATTAATAGTAATCAACTGATTCTTATGCATTACACTTTCAAAAATAATTGATGCTGACATTGTCAGCCCACTGACATGGTTTGAAATCAATATATTATCCAATGTGTGACCCTCCACAGGACTTAAAAAGCACCTAAGTAGATCATGAAAATCCCAAAAATCTCGGGGGGGGGTATCCCCCGAACCCCCCTAACATATTTGGACCTCGGTATTTAGGAAATCCTGGATACGGCCCTGGGTACCGGAGATCGTTGTTGTTAGCTTCTGGTGCTAGCGAGCTACGCTAACGGATATAAGGAGTTTTTCTAACAACAAAGTGGAGGAGAGTCCTCTCCTGTCAGACTTAGAGGCTCAGTGAACTAACGGCCCGTCCACACAGCAGCGTGCGTTGACGCTTGGAGGTGGGCGTATCTGAAGCTTGGGGATTTTTTGCGAGCAACGCGACCAACAACCAATCACATGAATCTCCCGCCCCCGACATACAAAGCAATAGCAATGTTAAAACGAAGTAAACAGGATATACAATCCCCAAACAGGCGAAAACCTACCAGTTTCACCCACTGTCTCTGCCACCTCCCTTCATGCCTCGCTCCTCCGGTTTGTATCCCGGTAGATGAACAGAGACTGATCATACAGCACCGGGTGATTCACTACCGCTATAATGAATTTTCCCTCAATTTTTTGGAATATGAGGAAATGACCTGCGTAGTCTCTCCCAGCATACACGCGGTTTGATTGGCTAGCACTTGTACTGGCAGATTTGCATAAACAGGATTTCATTGGCTGACGCTTCTGCCGAGGCGCCAAAAGTTGAACATTGCTCAACTTTTGAAGCGAGCAACGCCAGCAACGCTCCACGTCGCTTCCCAAATTGCAGTTCGGCTAAAAGTGACGTCACCCCATTCAAAGTGAATGGGCAGAAGCGTTGGAAGCTTCAACCCACGCCGCTGTGTGGACGGGCCGTAAAGGACTCTCTGAGTGTTATCTCAGTGGGTCTCAAACGTTTTGGTCACCATTAATGTAAACAATTATTTCCGAGGCACACATTTATATGATCATTATAGTTTAAAAAAAATAAGAGAATAAATGAAAAACAGCTATGAAATACTATATGACAGTAAAACAAGAATAAAGTTTAAAAGGGGAGTGATTTGTAAAATATCTATAAAGAAATAGAACATCTGCTTCCAGTTGTGTTTCATATGGGTGTTGAGAGGTATCTAGATCTCTTCATTTTTCTCTCAAAGTGCACCAGATTAATGCTTCAAGATTGAAAAAAATATATCTTCCCGGGGGAGCTTACCCCCGGATCCCCCTATGTTATGTCCACACACCACCTAGGAAAATAGCACTTTAGCCGTGAGCTGATTATCGAGCCTTCATTGTAACAGTCGCGGGTACACTGTGTATTTGTGTGGGGAGTGTTGCAGTAGAAAATTAAACTGTAGCGACCGGTACATTAATGGGAAACCCTAAATGTTTGAGCACCCTCTATGAAACGTCAAGCTACCCCACAGCACCCCCAAAATAAATCTCTGGCGCCGCCATTGAGCCTGACTATTTGTGTTGGGGGGGCCCTTTTTTTCTCCAAAGGGGGGGCCTGACAGAAAAAGTTTGAGAACCACTGACCTACCTGAACGTTTCATCCACAGAGGACAGTTTACAGCATGCCAGTCACTTGTGGTAGGACGGACCTAATTGTTGTTTTGCAATCAAAACACTCCGGAAAACCGGAAGTCGTGAACATCTGTTGTCAAAATAAAGGCTTAGAGCCAACCTGAATGGTGCGTGTGGAAAGAAACATGAGACAGTTGAGTCGGTTGCCACCTGAATTTGAGACAGAGAGAAGGAATAGACAGGGCTGGCTTGGTTTAGTGAAATTGCACCAAAACTATTCCAGAGTGCCAGAGTACCAGTTTACCTAAATGTAAAAACACCTTGCTGGTGTAAACTGAAAACAGGTTACAAGAAAAATTGCTATACATAGGTCCTAGCATGAACAAAATCCGAAGCAGGAGCTCACATTTAAATACAACTAGAATTTGTGTGCAACAGTCAGCATCAGCATGAACAAGCACCTTATATATTTATACATATATACAGTCTACACAATATGGGCGGAAAAAGAAAGTGTCAACAGAGTTACAGTTCCAACCTAAGCTGTGTTCCAACGTAGGAGCTGTTTATATGATGTTTACATAAGGTGTTTGCTTGTGTAAAGCAGTGACGTGCGGTGAGGTTCATGGCTGGTGAGGCACTGACTCTTTCAGAGTCAGATTTACAAATATCATATTTTGACCATAATCGACATATTCGGTTATTTTCAAAAGCTTTTTTAGTCTGATGCTTCGATTCATTTTAAACAGACCGTTCAACAAAAGGATACCCAAAATCGAAATATTGGATTGTTCTTTCTTAGTATGATCCCATTTTCATTACAATTGGGGTCTTACCTTGACTTGAAGATGAAGTCCATGCTTTCCTTCTGGACAACAATCTCTATTACTTTTTTGTAAAAGTCCTCCTTATCTTCCTCTAGTTTCAAAAGTCTAGTTTGTTGTTCGCGTCGCGTCTACCGCCATGGTCTACCCCGTCCCTGCGTAGAATAACAGTAGCAACAAGAACCTGTGGGCTCACTTGCGCCCCCTTCAGTGCGGCAGAGGTTATGGCTGCCTCCCCTGGTGCTTTTTTCATTGCCGTTGTATGATGAGACCAGCGAGCCTAAATATCATATATACGTGAAATAAGTTATTTAGAGACTATGGATGGCGAGGATAAATGTAATAAAGGGATCTACAAACATTACATTGGTGACATACAGTGAGATGGTGCAGGCATGCGCTTAGGGCCCGCTTTCCAGCCAGTTTATGTGGGGTGACGCATTTTGAGGTGAGGCAGATCTCATCTGTGCCTCACCTCACCACACAGTAACTGGCTTGAGCGCGCTCACAAAATAAGTGCCCGCGTTAAATTAGTGCCCGCGCTCCAGCCAGTTACTGTGGGCTTACGTGAGGCAGAGCTCGTCCCTGCCTCACTTCTCATCGCTACCCGTAGTTGTAGCGGAGGAGCTCTGAAAATTTGCTGATTTTGACTATAAAAAGCGATTGGAATCATACATAAATCACATTTACAAGTTACAACACAGATCAGTGGAGACATTTTATTATTATTACTATTTAGTTTTTCTTTAGTTGTTTTTCCGTTACATTGGAGTATGACAGGTGAGGCTCTGCCTCCCCTGACTGCACGTCGCTCGCTGGTGTAAAGTATATAGTATTGAAAGTATCCGATGGTCTACACATATTATTGGTGTTCTCCTGAGCAATACGGCAAACTCCCAAGCACTCAGGATGAGATTTATTAACAGGAACATTTTCACGTACAAGGGGATTTGCCTTAGTGTTTTGATATAGAAAGAAACAAAGACAAATGAATGAAAAGTTAAGAACATAAATAGCAAATAAAAAAACAATACAATTATGAAAAAGATAATGTAAAAGAATAGCAAACCTATCGGACCTGTAGACATATTGTTAGTATGTATAGCCAACAGTCATAATCTTGGATTAGGAAAACAACATCTTTAAATTATTTAATATTTTATTCAAATAATTTTTTTCAATGGATTTTATTTTGAAGCAGCCCTCCGGAAACCCTGTATCTTATCGCGTTCGCATGACTGCTGCTATGGAAACGGTAGTGGGCGGAGCTTGCTGGTGCCACTGGACTCCGGGTTTGATGCGGAGATGAAGTCCTCAGTGACCAGAAGACAGTAGTCAACCCGACACGCTACTTTAGCGCACAACTTTTAGTGTCCGCTGCTCTTCCAGCCTGCTGTCATACCCGGCGAAAACACTAGACATTTTGCTCTACTTTCAGTCATTTTTTGCCTTTTTATCTGGGCCAGGCTAGACGTGTCGTGCGGTATCCCCAATACCTTTCGTGGATTTCCCCACCCGCAGCCCAAATACGGTGGTGCTTTGACGGGAAAAAACCTACTTTGGTGGATTGTTTCCTTACCATGAAGAGGACATGTGGAAGAAGGTACGAACCGACTGAAGAGGAGTATTTCTGCGCCTAACACAGATGCAGTGAAGGTGCCCTGGTTGCGGTTCAGCCTGCTCGGTCATCGTGCATTTTTGGGAGAAGTCGTGTGGAGCACACAAAGCTTTTTAAAGCCGAGGACACAACAAGTTTGGACCATGCACCCGCTGTGCTGACAGAAGACTGAGCTGAAACACTGACGCTTGTTTCTAACTGTTGTTTTCACCACAACACAAAGTTGGACAATCCACAGAAGTTTTCAGGCTGTCCGCTTGCTATTTGCAGAGCTGTACACGGGGAAAACGTGCTTTATACTCACATTAGTCTGAAACCGCTCTTAGCCAAAGTGTATTTTTACTGCAGTGATTTGACCACCGTGTGAGAGGCTCCTGAACTGAGGTCCACTTTAAATGCGGACTGGTTTGCGGTCGGTGAGAGCACCGCCGAGCTGCCAGTGCCGCTTGATTTTTAATCCAAGGCTAAACAGAAGTCGCTTATTGTTTTACTACTTAGCACCAACACTATGGAGCTGACATACACGAGTATTGTCCTGCTGGGGTGCTTCTTCCTGGACTGGTTTCTCCTGGCTTCTGCAGAGGAAGGTGAGTCTCCAGTTTCTCTTTTTAAATGCTGCCTGGACTTGTTTTCTGTGGTTACATGGCTGAGAGACATGTCCAATTGGTATTACATCCTGAACCTCACTTTAATGGAGTGCAGGAAAACCACAAAAATGTACAGTAGTGTATTCCATGCAAGGGTACGCAGGAACATTACCTAAATCTCAGGGGGGTAATCATAGACATATCATGGCAGGATGTGGCTGCAACCTCACTGATTAAAAGTACCTAATTTTACAGGCATAGTTAATCCCAATAGTAATGTCATCATGCAAGTGTTTATGATTGTTTTCCATGTATTCTTCTTCTGGATGTTGGCTTGTTTTTTTGAGTTTCTTCCACCCTGTTGCCAACAAATTGCTGCTATCTTCGGGAATTGGATTGTTAGACGTATAGTCACTATTAGATTTCCCTTTAGAGTCATCAAAGGATTACACACTCACCCTTAATGAATACAACATTCAGTGCATTTGGCTTGATGTGATTGTCTGTGGTTTGATGTAGAGATCTATGTGACACATTTAGCTTTTAGAAAAAAAACAAAAAACATCAGACACTTTGTATCAAATACACAATCTAGATCCTGATTTAATGTGTATTATTTTCTGGCAGCAGGCTTGACATTCACAGGTAATTTGTCCCGGATCAGCTTTGTGATCCCTGAAGGGGGAAAATAAAACAGTCTGAAATTAGCTGTCATAATGTTAAAGAAAATGCTGCTTTTACAGGCAAATAGCTCGACATCATCAGCATAACAACAAGGCCGGTGTCTGGATGATTGGCTTAATGCAGCGGGGGAAGAATGAGTCCCAGTGACAAGTATCAACTAGAAGGCCTGGGTGTTTATTTTATTTGAATCTACTGTCACATCTTTTGCTTTTCGCAACATTAATGGGAACATGTCAGTACTGGAGTGAACTAATTTTGCGTAGTTAAGAATACTGCTGACAGAGACAACTTTCTGTAAATCCAGTGACAGAAAATGGCCTTTGGAAATAATAGGCCATTGTTTTACTGTGGATCAAAGGACCACAATTGGGTTTCTTGAAGAGCTGTTGAACAGTAGGCTTTGCAAAAGCACCTTACTGCTGTGTAGGCCTGATGCTATTGTGTTCCTGTTAAGTCTACTCTATTCTCCATCATGCTATTCTTGGTCCCCACTGTTTGAGGCTTACCCACAGTTGCTAAAGGTGATATTGTAGGACTTTTTTTTGTTGTGATCATTATCCCTCAGTTGTTAGCACCTCATTGTAAAAAAAAAAGAAGGGAATTAACACATACACTTATTTTGACTCACATTGATAGAAAAGCCATTTCTCTGGCTACTGTCCAACTTGTAGGTATTCTGTGACTAGAAAAATTAATTCCCCAAGAAAACATTGGGCTCTTTAACAATGAGACTATTCCCCCAGTATGTTCATACCAATCAATAGTTGCTGTAAACAGGAACACCATGAACATGCATGGTTTCACATACTCTGTGGCAGGAACGTGAATCTGTCAACTGCTCCTGGCTTGAGTCTGAACGTCATGTATCCGCTGGTACTAAATGCCTCTTCTTTGAGGGTGTTGGGGATGTTAAGTTACCGCAGCTACTGAGAGTCTGAATTCTTGCGGGAAGAACCTTGTTGACTCTGTATTTCAAGAGAGAAGTTTGGGATTTTCCCAGACTTTAAACATTTAGTCTAACTTCTCAGGGAGCCAGGGATCAGACCATTAAAGGAACTGAAGCTTCTTCTTCATCTGGGGCTGCAGGATCCACAGCAGGGGCCCTACATCTGACCCAGCTCTGAGTTTATCTCCTTGGGACAAAAGAGATGCTTAGCCTTAGATTTAAGTGTGTGAAGCAAACAAATTAGCCGGTTTTTGGTGGCCGAATCATCAAACATGTCCCCTTTCTTTAGAATCAAGAGAAACCTCAGTTAAGATGGCTCCCATTCCGTTTTTTCTGAAGATGCTTGCTCCAAACCTGTGCAGCACACGCTCCATGTCGAGGACAGACATGTAGACGGGGGCTGAGGGGGTCGTATACGGTTTCGGAGACAGACTCCAGAACATCAGTGTGAACAAGATGTCTGGTTTCCATGTCTTGAGTAATGGCCCGCTCCACTGCCAGCACGCTCCGGATCATCCTCTCCCTTATTCTCCACCTAGTAGGGAATTCAGTAATGAGCTGATGGGAGGGTAGATGAAGCTTACAGCTACCAAATCTCTCCTCCTTTCCCAACTAAAGGATAACTGACTCACTTACACACACCACTTGCTCGTTCAGCCCTTGGATCTCTTATCCTTCTGTCTCCGTGAAGATTAAAACACAGACCTCCTTGATCAGATAATTACTTTGGCTGGAAATTAATAACAGGCTTTGGGTGGAAATTAGAAATGAGGATGCACACACGTCTTCGCCGCACACACAGGAAAAACAAACACTTTTTCGCCCCGGAATTAGAAAATGTAGACCTATCATGAACCAATGCTTTAATCTGGAAAAAGGCATACGCTTTTATCCAGTATTAAATCCCACTCATATAGTCCAATTGCGATTTTGAAAACACATTTTCTGACATTACAGATGTAAGCTATAAATGTTTCTTATCCTCCCACACGCAGGCTCAACCTGTAAAATACCCATTTTGTTTTCCTTCCGGCCCCTCGTTATTCCTAGCACATCCAGTTTTGCTCTCTTACCGATGGCACAATGCAGTCAGTGACAAAAGCACTGCAGTCTTTACCTGCTCAGTCCAGAGCCTAAATGATATTAACATAATTTTCTGTAGTGATGCTAAACTTGTTGGCTCTCATCTAAACTTAGAGGACAATTTTCCACCCTGGTGGGCGACGTACTCTCTCCTCTCCTGTCTAATGTCCACCACCCAAAGACATTTTATAAAAGCTAGTGCTACTGAATAACCTGTGTGATCATCTGAAGTCAAACAGCTTTGTAGACAGACACTCCTAACATATATGTTTAGATTTTTATCCGAATGTAGCCCAAATGTCCACCTTGAATACATATACCCTGAAAGTGATAATTATAATTAATGTACATTTTCATCCACTTCTGTATATCAAATAATAGATGACTGCATCAAAATAAACACTTATCATTGCGAGAAAATTATTTTTGAAACAAGACGCAGCAAAACACAGAATGTTGCATCATCAGTCTAAGCTTAGACAACAGAAACAGGTTTTAGGAAGCTTACAGTCTCCTAATGGCTCCAAAACCGATCTGATGTTTTCGTCTGCCGCCATTTCCGTATAACTTCGATTCAGCTGAAGCTTCTGTGACGAATAAGTCAAACATTTTCTATATGTCATGATTCAATATGTAAGTCTGTTTCCATTGCAGTTGGTTGCATTCTGTTTTTATTGAAACACCAATTCCAACATCTCAAACAAGCATACAAACTTTTCTGGCAATATTTCGATTTTCTTTATATCCCGTATTCCACTCTGTATTTTTCTTAGTGGAAATTGCTAAAAAGCACGTAAATTGAAATGCACCTTGTCTACATGTGTTTGATTCAACATGACTCATCAGTTGTATTGGATAAGTATCTTGATGTATGAGTGTCTGCTGAACATCGCTGTCATGTAAAGGCGCTGTCTCTTTAGCTAAATTGATTGTTTTTGGCCTGGAGGCTTGTACTGAGTGCTGTTTTTACAGCGTTGTAAATTCATCTTTCTATATATTGGAAATCTCCTGCTACTGCAATATGTTACTGCAGCTGTTACCTCCCTCCATTTACAAATCATCTTTTCAAATAGCATGCAACAAGAGAGTGCAGCTGCCAGTGTGATTTGTTTAGCAGAACCCTGACTCGTTGATAGGGTGAAAAACACAGAGCACTTTTTAGCCTCTGATGACGGATAGAGGGGTGTCGTACTGTCTGAGGCAAAGTTTTACACACAGTAGGGGTTTGTCCCATTTCACCTTCTCCCAATCCGAAGCAAACCTAAAAAAAAAGAATTGACATTTACATATTTTGTTCTGCTGCCTTCGTCCTGAGCTCTAAGCTCACTCAGTAGATCTGCCAGCGGCCAAGTGGGAGTAATGAGATAACGGAGTAATACATTCACACTTCCATTAGAGTTGCATGCTTTAAAACATATTATAAATTAAAAACAATATCTCCATACATATTTGATGCGGAGAAAGAATCATAAAGAATCATAAAAGCAGATGAATTTCCCTTCTGCAATGTCAGTGGGTTGACAATGCACATTTCCCCACTAGCACAGGCTCACCGACATTTTCGTCAAGTGCTGGTGATTGGTCGGGTGGAAGCAGTGAGGAAAGCCAATCTGCAAAAAAGACTGCAACACTCACAGTATAGCATGCTTGTTTACGTGGAATTTAAACATTGAAGGCTCATATTTACGTAACCGCTCTTATGTGGAAGGAAAGATCGACATCAACCCACTAAAAACAAAAATAATCTTGCACTTCCTTCACAATCTGTTTATTCTTTCGCCTCCTAAGCCCTCCGTGACATAACTAGCATGATGAATAGCATAATGCTTCTCAATCTAACTTAAAACTCAAATGCAGAAAGGATGTTTTTATCTGAGAGGCCTTCCGTGAGCCTCAATCCCTTCTTTCAGAGACATGTAGCCTTTTCTTTTGCTACTCTTTCCACGTCCTCTGTCTCCTTGATGTTTGACTGGTGCTATGCTGTTTTCTCTTGCTGACTGTCTCCCCTGCCGTGGAAATGTGGACCGTTTCCCAGAAATCCTTTTAAACGGAACCGATTTTTATAAGAAAGGGATTTGCATTTAAAGCAACCTCCCCCCTCTCTGAAAGCCTGTAGCCCATCATCCTCAGTACCTCAATCCCATGATTAGCTTCCTCAAGAGTTAAACAGGCATCCAAGTGCCACAAGTACCCTCAGTCCGTGTCTTTTTTCCCCTCACCCCCCCTCTATCGCTGTGAAGGATGCATATGGCACCCGGGAATTGCAGGTGGATGATATTTTAGCTCG